GGAAAAAGGTCAGCGGCCATCTGATTTTTGTTTATTATTGAACCTCACATAAACTCTGCTGGTGTTTTTCTTTCTCCTCTCCTGATTGTCTCTCTAATTCTGCATACGTCTCTGAACTGATTCTCCTAATCTCCTCAACACTATCTTCCCTGTTTCTCTCTTCAAGACACCTCTTTCCACTTAATTCTAGTGATATGACTTCAAGTATTATCTTGTGGGGTTTCAATGATAAGACTGTGTGACTGTGCATGTTATCTAGGTTCCTCTCCTCTTTCGCTCTTTGCTCTCCAAACTGCCTTCTTGCACACTATGAAATAGGGTGAAACGGCATGTGTGTGCATGCAGATTAATTTTGTTTATCGGAGAGGTTCAGCCCATTATTTAACCATTTGTTTTCAAAAAAGCAGTTTGCAGCGAGATGCAGATTCTTTATAGCAGCGAAATCCAAATTATTCGAGCTGAGGAGAATTCATACGACGGCACTATTGTCAGCTGACAGCTTTGTTATTAAGAAAACAATGTTGATGGTCACGGTTCACCGAGCGCTCTGCGCCGTTATCTGCACAGGGACCTATCGTAGCGTCTCCTTAGCATAACAAAGCTGCCCTTTCACTGCAGCATCTCGCCTGTTTTATGCCACTTTGTTTGCGCTCTCTAGATCACAGCCGCATTTAATTGAGCGGAATCAGAAAAGGGAGCGATCGGCGCAGACGCGCGACTGCTTGCTTTTTGTTTTTAACTGCCACATGCTTCAATATCTGTTTGTTTTACAGGAGTGGACGGCTCCATATTTGAGGTTCTGCCCCAAGCAACAGAGCTACCCAGCTTTCAGGCCTGTCATGCTACTAAAGACTTGTGGCAGCCATGTCTCTGCACGTACACCCTGCGGCTGGAGTGGTACCCGTGTCTGCTGAAGTACTGCCGCAGCCGGGACGCAACAGGCAAGGGCTCCACCTACAAGTGTGGCATCAAGAGCTGCAGCAAAGGATACCATTTCACGTACTATGTTCCCCAAAAACAGCTCTGCCTCTGGGACGAGGAGACCTAGAGTTTTGTTGTGGATGTTTAAGAAACGAGAAGACTTCTTTTTCTTTTTTGCCAGCCCAGCCAATGCTTCTCCACCCATGCTAACCACAGCAACACTGGACCTTGGTTTATATCATGTGAAGTGAAGCTGTGTCAGGTGGGGAGGGCCGACATCCAGACATTCACGTTGAAGTAGAAATAAATTCAGGTTCCAGATGAGACCAAAAGCTTTTAAGGGAGATGCAGCAAAGTCACTAATTTTTCACTAATGTTTCTGGGGAAAAATGACCTCTTGCTGTCAGTCTTAACGAGAGATATATAATTTTTTTTTTTTTTTTTTTTTGCCAAGAAGCTGTCACTTTTGTGCCTTTTTGGGGAAAGTGAGTGGGGCAAATTAAACAAAACCTCTCAAACAAGCTATGGTATGCACAAAAGATGGACAGTCATACACCGGCAGAGGAACAACACTGTTCCACTCTCAGTCAAAAGGAGGTAGACAAACAAATTCTTCCATCCTGGTGAAGGAAAATTTGAATGTTGGAATTATCTGTCTTATAAAGCTCTGTGAAAACAGTTTATTACCAGCTAAATGCTGTTTTTTACCATGTAAGCATGCTTACAAAGAAAAAAACAAAACCTCTCCAATGCTATCTTTATTTATTTTGGTTGCAAAGTGAAATTATGGAGGACTATATCATTAAAAAAAAATCTTTTTAATATAATAACCTCATCTGTTTGCTTCCCTGTAGGCATTAAGTTTAAGTTAGTTTCTGAAGTTCATCTTAAACCACAGAGCCTCAGTAACACAAAGTATTCGAACATATTTCAGGTTAACCTCTTGGCTGTTGTTTCTCATCCATATCCTGTTTTGCTTATATACTGCCCGTTTTCATTCTTGTATAGACGGTGTAGAAAAACAGGCATATTATCCTATTTAATAGTGAAGATTTATCCCAAGTTGCCCTGTCATTACCGATGGGGACACCTCCTGCCCACAACAAAAGTGTCAAACCAAAGTCAAAGAAATGCTGTGAAAGGAGCCGTTTAAAGTTTCAGTTTCTGGACACAAGCTCTTCGGTATGGTGGTGTTTTTTTGTTTTTTGTTTTTTTTTTCCTCCCCAATGTGAGGATCCATTCAAGCAACAGGCGCTTTAATGATCCACACTGCCATCTTCTGGTTAACCAGCATTTTTAGACTTTTATGCGCGCTGCCAGAATTCTGGTTCTTGGTTTCCGGCTTTGCCTGCTATAATTTATACATCTCATATCTGCCCCCGATAATTTACGTGTAATTCAAGGAGCACTTCTTAAATTTGTGGGACCAAATTTAACTTGTCTGTCTGTTCTTTATAGTACTAGGTTAAAGAAAAGACTGCTTTTCCTCAATAACTTCAGCCTTTTTACTGCCATAACCCAAAAAAAAAGGGAGAAAAAAGAGGAAAAAAAGAGTTTTTAGTGTGCTGGTGTGTCCTGCTAACTGAAGAACCAAATGAGTGAAACACACCTATTTGTGGCCTTCTCTGGTGATCAAGTGCCTTAACATTTTACTGATGTTTTTGCTATGTAATTGTAGATTACATTGTTAAACATATTTTTTTTTCTATGAAAGAGTTTTTAATATGTTGTAATTAAAAAAAGCTGCCGTAAGGGAAAAAAAATGAAGCAATTTGGTTAAGTACAACTTTTAAGAGCTGTTTTACATAAATTGTTTTAATAAAGTCCTTCTTTGCACTGCATGGACAGCTTGGAAGTTATTTGTGGTATATTGGAGTAATTTTATTAAGCCTTATATGGGGGGGTGTGTGTGTGTGTGTGTGTGTGTGTGTTTGGGGGGGGGGGCAAAGGAATCGGTGTATGGGAATTAAGAGATATACAGTTTAGATTCTTTGCATAGTCATCTGCTTCTGGGTGCTCCAATAAATTGTCCTGTTTTGCACTCGGGTGTGTTATGCCAGTCTTTCGATCAAGGTTGTAATTTCCACCATTTCCCACACGGTGTCGCCCCTGTTCCGAAAGAAAAAGAGCCTGCCATCGCTACATCAAGGATGAAAGCATGCTTTTCCTACAAAAAAATTGCATAAATCTACTTTAATCTCTAATTATGGTATTGCACGAGATAATATAAGCAGGATGCAATACACTTTGTAGTGCTAGCAAGTTAATAGGAGCAGAGCATGCAAATGCAGCTACTTGTAATGGGATACAAAGGATGCTGAAGGAGGCTGCTGTTGCTGCTACCCGGTGCCGTTCAGTTAAAGGACAGCAAAGTGTGTATCCAAACAAACCTGCCTCGGTCTTCTACGAGCATATATTTGCTTCAGAGGACGCAAAACAGCCAGGATGTAAACCGAGAGACAGCCACATGTGAACCGTCAAGGTAATTATATTTCACCGCATTTATAAACGTGTTGTAACCCCATAAAACAAGGCTTTGTTAGCTTGCTAGCGGTTAGCTTGCTCCCTGATCCATCTAATAGTACCAGTGCAGAGTTAGCCTGTTATGATAGCATCCCCTTGGCTAAGGGATGAGCTATGGCCCTGCTCTGCTGCTGGCCTTTCACATTGTTAGCAACAGCTGCTTTTGCTGTCACCATCAATAAACTGGCCCACGAGCAAATGAAGAAATTTCTTCATTTGTTCGTGGGCTCGGGTTGCCAGTTCCCGTCCTTTCATTGGTTTGCGTGGGAACACAATTATTACGCTATTAGTTTTTACCTTAAAACAGCTCAAATCTGCATCCATTATAAGAGTAAACATAGCTCAGGTGTCTCACCCTTATCCTAGGAAAGCCTGCAGCATCATACACAGGGCATGCTGTAATGAAGAAAAACAAATAATAGACATAAAGGTAGTTGTTCAGTTACCTGGTGTTTTCTTGTGTGTACTCTACAGAAGTCTTGAGTCACCACTCATTTCTTTATATTTTGCTAGTAAAATGAGCATATATTGAAACATGTGCAAACATTCATGGGAATGCAGTGTAATAAGGCAAAAACAGACTTTGTACAATTCTAAAGCGCCTGAAAGTCAATATTTGGCAACAATCGTTATTCCTTAGCTTTGCCTGAACTCTCTTAGGTAAGCTTTCTTTTTATTTTTTTAAAAGTTTAAGTAGTCTTTTTTGGATGTTGGGTGACTTTTGTTCTGTTCTCTGTCAAGATGATCTCACACTGCTTCAGTAATGTTGAGGTCCGGGCTCTGGGGAGGCCAATCCATGAATGATAGTGTTCCAATATGTGTTTTTTCTATCCAGGTATGTCTTTACTGCATTGGCAGTGTTTGGGATCATTGTCATGCTGAAAAACAAAGCAGCTGCAAATCAGATGCTTTCCACATTGGGCTGCATGGAGGATTAAAATCTGAGTGTACTTCTCTGTGTTTATAATTCCATCAATTTTTACAATTTACAATTTTTACATTGTTATCTGTTGATTAAGAATGGCTTCTTGACAGCCACCCTTCCACTGAGACCATTTCTGATGAGTCTCCAGTGAAAAGTAGATGGATCAACTGATGAATTGTCTGGGCCAGACGCATCTCTTAGGACTTGTGTCACATCCTTGCTGGATTTTTTTCTTATTTCTTAAGGACACGACTTTCAAATATTGTTCATGTATTACAGATAGTTGTTTTTTTTTCGGCCTGCCACTTCTGCTTTTGTTCTCCTCTTGTCCAGGTTCCTCAGATCTTTTAATGACACACTGCATGCTGTACTAAGATATGCCATCTTTCCATCCTCTAGTTGTTTTTGGAATAACTGTATTGGTGCAAAAATACTATTTTATGCACGTTAAAGTGTATTATCTGTGGCATTTTTTTTATAGATTCAAAAAAGAGAACAGTTTTGTGACTGTCTGCTACTAACAGAGTGCACAAGGCACAATTTAAAATGGATTTTCTATTATGTAGGCATAATACTTGTTTATTCCTGGAGTTAGGTCCCTTTTTATCCTTGAATTAAAAAAAAACATTCCCAAGAAAATGGTCAGGTCAAAGGACTGGACTGAAAAACTTTCAAAACCCTTTATAAAGCATGGAGAACGATCACTCAAAACCAGAAAGTCTGGCTTCTTGGAAGATAAATATAGAGAAATGTGGAATCGTTCAAGACTTACTAGTTTTATTTTATGTCATTACATAATTTTGTCATTGCATATTCAGATCTCAGATGTTTCCTTTGTTTGCTCGTGATTTTTTCTCCCTACTTTATTGTGCGTTTTCAGATGAACATGCAGGTTTTCTAAGACTATAAATTCAAGCCTAGTCTTCATATCATCTTTAGGTGCATCCTTTTTATCCATAGTACAAGTGAATCTGTAAAATGATTTGCAGCGGAGTCCATAAACAGATGAATTAATTTATTAACATATTCATTTTCAAGCAGAAAATCTGAAACGGTTCAGTGTCCCGCCTCTTAAATATAGTAATTTATTGCTCTTATATGTGTGTTGTAGTAACTGAATATCTGTTAGTTTATTTGGCTGGCATGTGGACATCACAAGCATAACAATGAAGATAGCAACGGGACATTTTTTGTTTGCTTATTAGTGCAGATGTCAAATAATAAGGGAGAAAGAGCCTTTGTCCCTCTCGGGAACTGTCTGAGACCCAGCACCCAGTAACCTCTCTGCCAGTTTTGAAACTAGCTTCAATCTTTAAGAATCAAGTGTACATCTTGTTCCAGTTCACTGAGGGTGGGCTCATCTGTCTGCATGGTCTCACCTCCTAGTACAAACGTCACAGCAGAAGAAGAGACGTCCCCCTCACCCCACCAGACCCTCAGCCGGCCTACTATAGTACTATTATAGTTCAAGCAAAGGCTAATTGTTGCTCCCTCACAAAGAGTGCACAGTTCAAATCTCTGGACGGTGATTCTTTCTTTTTCTACTGTAAGTGATATTACAGAGCAAGAAGTTCCTCCTTGGATTTTTCTCTCGCCATGTAATGTGAGTCAGAGTTGGCTTGATGATTGCTGAGAAGTTTGTTTAGCTGTAATTTGCTGCTTTTCTTTGTTTGACTTACCTTCAGAGGGGAAGATGGCTGTGCTTGTTGTTTGTGCTCTCCTGTGCCTATCCTGCTGGGTGTCTTTCTACTTTGTCCTGTGTAACGTTAACGGATCCAGGAGCTACGAATGGAACTGTCGACTCGTCACGCTGGTGCACGGGATCCTGGCAGTCTGCATCACAGCGTACATAGGCTATGTAGATGGACCTTGGCCTTTTACTTATCCAGGTAGGGGATGCAGCTTTTCAAGATTTTGTGTGCACATTAAAACCTAAAAAGACAGCAAGGATGCAGAGACACAGCATAGATTTTAAGCAGCTCACAGACTTAATATTATATCCTCTTATGCATTAATGTGACATTACTGTTTAGGTTCATCTATTAGTTTTCACTGTAACATCTGCTGCTTTTTCTTTGAAAATTGATGCAGACATGAGGCATCTAAACTAGTTAGCACAGTTGAGCTCTAACTACCAGTGGAAACTTTTTGTAAGGTGCTGAAAAATCTTTAGACACAAAGACAAAAAGTTCTCAAGAGCTGTTTTTGTTACACGCCAATATAAACAACTATGTGCTCATTTCACAGTAATAACTTGTTTTATCTGTTTCGATAAGAAGCTAACTAAAGCCGGTCTTTTTTTGTCTGTGGATGCCAGGTACAAAGAACACCCCTCTGCAGATAAGTGCCATGGTCCTGAGTCTGGGCTATTTTATTTTTGACATGGCCTGGTGTGTGTACTTCCGTACAGAGGGACCAGTTATGCTGGCCCACCACACCATGAGCATCCTGGGAATCCTGTTGACCCTTTGGTTGGGGGAGTCTGGCATCGAGTCGTGCGCGGTGCTCTTTGGCAGTGAAATCACCAACCCTCTCTTGCAGGCGCGCTGGTTCCTCAAGCAGACTGGACGTTACGGGACTCTGCTGGGGGACGTTGTGGACGTCCTGTTTGTGCTGCTGTTTGTGGTGATGCGAATCTTCGTGGGAGGCACAATGCTGTACTGTGAGCTGATCTCCCCCAGGCCGAGATTCTTTATCAAGTGTGGCGGAGTGGCCATGTACGCCCTTTCCTGGGTCTTTATGGTAGACATTGTTCGATTTGCCATCCGGAAGAGCAAAAGCTGGCACAAACACCAGAGAGACCGCCAAGAGCTTTTAGCAGCTAATGGTCATGAAGGGAAGAAGGAGTGATCGGCATCAGAAGGGAATCCATTTATGTCATTTCTCTGCTCTTCGCTTTGGACACTTGATGGAAAGTACATGGAAAGCAACTTTCTCCATGTTGAAGTGTGATTTTAGAAAAAGGGATTTTTAAATTAAAAAAATGCTAAGGCTTCTTTTTGTAAGGTTTGTGGATTTTGGAGCTGAACATGCATATAGGGTGCAAACAGCACTGACGCAGTTTATATCACTGAAAACCAAAGCATGTTGTATAAACACACAAAGAAAACCTGTGGGAAGAACAGTTGCCGTTAACTGTGACCTAGTCATGTGTGGCAGTGTGGCTCCAAAAGGAAGTTCCCTACTAGAAAAGAAAAAGTTTACATGTAATGTTGTAGTCCTTGTGAAACACTTTTAGTGATGTCAACAGACTAGGATTGGTACTCAGGGAAATTAAGTAATATCAGAAAGATTGACGTGTGTTTGATGTGTTTAATCAAATTTCTATTTATTTTGCATCCCTCCTTTAAAGCTCTATGTTACAGTTTTATTGAGTCTATTAAATTCTAAATGTGTTCTTTTTAGTGTATTGTAAACTATAAATACATTCTCATGTTTTCTGAAATGGTAACCCTTGTCAACTTTATTGTACCAGATGTGTGAGGGTGGTCGCGCGTGAGTAATCATTTAGACAAGATCTGTGCTCTGCACTGATAGCTCCCAGCTAATTTAATTTAATAAGCTGTTTGTTGAATGTTTCAGTCTCACAGAGATCTTGTCAGAAATTGTCCAAGCTTTGATTAAATTCATTCTGAGCTATCTGTACATTGTGCAAGTCTTTCAAAAGGTCTTTTTTTTTTAAAATAAACCATTTTGAAATAAACATGTTATACAATGTTTGCCTTAATAAAAAATGTGCTACTGGGATGAAGACAGGAAGTTTTTATATTAAGGGACTATAATGACTGAGCCCAGATTTTTATGTGCATTCTTGTCTTAATTGTGAGAATATGTTTTTGCCGCAATAGGTTAAAAACATGCCATCTGTTTGTTTCCTATGTCTGTTCACCTGACTGGCACTGAGAGAAGTCTCTGTGTGCATCACCAATACATACAAGAAAGTACAAACCTAACTAGTGTGTGCCTTAGTTATCTGAATGTACCTTCCTAATGTGTTTTTATCCTTTCTCATGTACTGTAAACTCATTCAACACAGGAGGCGGCGTCACAAGAGCCATTTTGGGTCGGGGTTTCATCGTTCACCTTTGTAATCCCTGTGTAAAGTGAAATAAAATAAACTTGACATGTTGTTTGCATTCACTAAACAGCAAATTTACAACTAAACTGAAACATCAACTGTGTTCTAGTCAAGCCTAGCGAAACTCGAGATGAATTAGTCGACTGAGAGTGAAGTTACCTAAGCTGTCCACATGATGGTGTCATATCAATTATTTATGAATGATGAGAGAGGAAAGATGTGGTCTTTCTGCAATTCTAAAATAGCAATGAGAAGGGAAGAAAAGCACTTTTTATTTTAAACACAAAGCATCAGCAACTTACATTAAGTCCATGTGTAACTTTTTGTTTTTTTCTCATTTTAGCATAAATTCGGTCGTTTTGGACCAGTTTTCAGTCTTTACCAATGCAAAGTGGAGATAGGTGTGTGTCATGCTGTGTGTAATATACAATGTGCCTTATTTATTGTCGTATTTACAGTATAATGTAGGGTGCCAGAAATGCAGTGATGTGTGACTGCAATGGTCAGCACAGCAATCACACAGTAGCGCAGTAGTTGTGTATTTAAGCAAGGTGAGAAAAAGGTTAGAGTACAAGCCAGACGGGAATTTGTTTATTAAGAAAGATAAAATTATGTACTTTGCATTGATAAATATGACTCACCACAACCTTAATGGGACAGATGAAGTTTTTTTTTTATCATTTTCATTTGATGGTTGGTTTTGCTTCCAGTAATATCACATGCACAAAAACTGGAGTCGTATAAATGACTCTTGGACTGGAAGGTTCAACACTTTGCATGAAATGCATGAATAATTTATTGTGTCCGTTTCATGAGTGCCTTTTGCATCCATATTTGACTTTTACGGCACACACAGTTACTTGAAGCACTATTGAGAAGGAGACTGACTAACATGAAGATATTCGTGTCTATACATTTAAAAATGATCAAATTCTAACAATTTTTGGCCCAGTGGCCATTATTTAATATCCCTGCCAGCTGCACACGCCATTGAGGCGCTGCTTGTTATATTCACAGCCTACTATAGTTGCATCATACACGAATAAATTATACATGTTTAGTATTACTGTTACCAGTAGTAGTAGTAGTGCTTGCTGTCGTTGTTACTCGTTTTTCAGTAGTGGTCCCTGATATTATGCTATGCTGAAATAAATTCTCCCCGGCGGCAGGAAGTGGTTAGTCTCTCCCAACTGCTAGCTAGGGCGTTGCTAGCGGCAGAAAGTGGGATTTTTTTGGTACCTTTCCTCAAGTTATTCTCTCGAACAAACAGCGTTGTACGTTGGGAAAAAATAACGTTTAATGTTCGCTACAAGTTTCAAGCCCCTCGACGCTTTTTTGTCGTTGTTTACACGGGAGCGGTGGTTACTTTCTTTCCCGTTAGCTGGCGGCCACATAGCTAGCCTGCTTTCCATCCACGGGAATTCTGTTGAGAATTGACGATTTCTTTTGGAACATGGAGTCAAGAGACGCTGTGCTGTGCTAACGGGCTCCGCTGCATTTTGTTTCCTCAAGGAGTCTTTTTGAAGGACATAACGCGAAGACGTATCGCAAGCCAGTGAAAATACACGAGGTTTTTTGTGTATGTATGTTTCGCTCGTTGGCCGGCTCATTGTTGTGAACGGGAGTTTGCTTAGTTTGCACTCGAAACAAGAGCCCACGAAGCAAAGTTTTTTGCTGAAAGAGCTCATCTGTTTTGTTAGCTGGTAGCTGGTGAGATTCAACGACTGCCAGTTTGCAGTGAGAAAGGATTTTTTTGGGGGGGGAAACCTATGTGCTTTTTTTAAATGACCATTTAACTCAGTTCGTTTCTTTTTAATCAAAGCGGTTTGACGTTAGCTGCAGTTGTTTTGCTAATTTCTAACACGGGTCGTTTAAACTCGGCATTGAGCGATTCTCCTGGTCACGGGAGAGTCGTCCCCACAGCCACAGACAGGCATTTCTTGGAGCAGGGAATACCTAATGGGACTGGAGGAATTTCCAGCATCTTCACCGATCATTTAGACACCGAGGCCATTCGGCCGAGCTGGGTGTTGGCAGACGAACTACATCGCAGGGCCAAGGTGTCAGGAACGTTGGGATACGCATTGTTTACATACATCATATCGGCGGAAAACTGGGATGTGAATGCAAAGGAGACACACGAGGAGTTCGTACATACACGACAACTTGTGTCAGCTGCACCAGTATATTTATTATTGTTGCCAAAATATTGTTTATTACGGGGTAGGACTGCTAATTCGACCAAGGCCCCGATTGATTTTTATGATCTGCACTGTAGATTTTTTGCTGTCATTTAATTTTAACAAGAAGTCCTGGTTGTAGCTTAGGCTCATCTGGTGTTTGGAGGTGCCTTGCAGCAACCTCACAGTGAACTGATTCCCAGCATCGTTCTCAAAATCCCTGCCTACTCCAGACGAATGCCAGAGAAAGACGCTCCAGGAAATCGCCTCATCACACTCTGGAAAATGTTAATAGGATATAATTTGCTGCAAATCTAGAACCGGAAGCCCAATGAGTGACACACAGCCCAGCTTCACTGACAGGTACAGTAAACAACCACCTTTTATATTCTGTTAATGTACTGTTTTCACCTTCAAAGTAATAAAATCATAACATTTTTGTGAAAGTCCCTTGATACGGTTGATCTGAAAACGTGTTTTACACGGTTTAGGTAAAACACTGACCTATGTAGATGATGCTCGGTAATAACTGTTATTCAGTTACTAATGAAGGACATCAGATCTTGATGGAAACTGCTGATCTCAGCATGGATAATGGAGTTCTCTGTAGACTGTAAAATACTACTTATGGACTGGATGAGAAGGACTTCTACTGTTTGTGTGCTAGGGAACAGTCATCCAGTGATCCCTGTACACCTTTCAACATCACTATTACCCCTAAGCCTTTAAAGCTAAACCTCTCCTACACCTATTAAAACAATCTCTGGATTTAGACAAAACCCTAGCTCGGAGAGTAATCATCTTATCTAAGGCAGTTGTCACCTTAAACTAAAAGTTGGACCAGCTGACTAAACATTGTGTCACAGCCTTCAAGAATGCAGCGATGGATGTGTCCAAAACTACCCCAATGTATGGACACGTGTGTCCATCACTGATTTCTGCATTGCATCATGACAGTGGTTTTCGTGCCTGGACAATAAAGAGGTTTTTGTTCTGAAATGATGTTCTCTGGCAGTAAAACAAAAAGTGGAGCTGTTGTATTGCATCAAACCTTCCCACCTGAATGTCACATACCTGCAAGGAGAGAAGGAAGGAGTCAGAATAGAAGGGGAGCTTATTACACCAGGTTGGGATATGAAATACCCTCATGGCTAGAGCTAGAGGGAGGCGAAAGCCCAGCCCTAGTTTTTTTTTTTTTTTTTTAAATAAATATGACACCCCCCTCCCCCACTGCACTGATGGCAACAGTGGCTGGCACCAACTGCTGGCCTGTACTTGGAATTATTGTTCTGTATGTATGGTCTGTTTACATTGTTTTCCACAACGGTTGCTGGTAGTGACTGCACTGATCAATTAGGTTTTTGGTTTGTTGCTTGCTCGCTCTTGCCTTATGTGTGTCTGTATTTCCCTGCTTTTGCCTTCGCTCCAGCCATGTGTGGTGTTGTGCAGTTTGTTTTTTTGCTCTGTTGGCATTGGTGGGAGGATGCATTCAGTATCTATTGGGGTTGGGCTGCCAGCCGGTGGGTCAGTTTAGTGTGCAGTTCACTCTTTGTCATAGTGTTCTGCTGATCTCCACGATTTTCCCACACCCCTGAGGCCCTCTCGGGAAGTGGTACTGAGGGGTATACTGCAAATGAAGTTCAACACAACCAGGCTTTCTTTGCATTAGCTGGCTGGACAAAACCTAAAACCCCAGCTGGAGATAACGGGTATCACAACAGTGGTTCTCAACTTTATCTCTTAAGCAGAGCTTTTTGCTTCATGCTCTGTGCTCGGAAAAGCAGTGATTCGTGAGGCATTAGACCCTTTTTCTACACAAAATGACCCCTATGAGTGACACTTATTTCAGTCAGAGATGTTATCATTTGATGATGATAAAATGGTGATTAAAACTAAACAGAACATTAAAAAGATAATACTAAAATGCAACAAGAGATTAATACAGTAGAAAACTGTTAATTTGGTGGTTTTTAGTGCACAGTAAAACAGTTTAATTCAAGTTATTTATTTCATCATCAGACTTGGCAGCAGATCAGAATCAAGTAAAACAATATTTAGACATTTTCTCCATCACCAAATTAATGCATGGGCATATTCAGTGACAATATGACACACAGTTTGCACTTTATTCAGAAATTTAACAGCGCGTAACAATCCTATTAGCAGATAATCTATATTGTGCTTAAGACATGCTGTAAATGAAACAATCAGTGGAACCCTGGCACTTTGACTTTAAACCAAAACTCAGAAGATGGCCTGGTCATAAGCAGACTTTTTCACCATGAGTTACCACAGTAATTTAGCCAGGTAAAAAGGAAGCTACTTTTATGACACAAACCTTTGACTTGAAGAGTTAAGCTTCGTAATACACCCCCTCCAGTGTCATTACTAATAGTAAAAAATAGTCAGTGTTTATCACCCAGGTATTTCAGGTACTTTCAGGGAGGCTGATTGGAGTGTGATTTCACAGCAAAAGTTTTAACCTATGTCTGTAATCAGTTTTCAGCTGACAAGCCTGTCAATAATCATTCAATATCATTGATTCTTACATAAATATGCTCTCAGTTGTGAAGCGAGTATCAGTCACAACCTAATAAAGGCCAAAGTTTTCACATTGTGACATAGCCATCAGCTGAAAACGAGAGATGTGAGATGTCATGATCAGTGAATGTCTGGTAGTTTGCCGTGCTAAAGTCTTTAAAGGGGGAACGGTTAACTATATGTCAACATTGATATATTTCTGTGGGCTAGTTGAGTAATTATATCACCACTATTTTTAATAACAGGACACTGGAGTTGATATTTGCGTCACTGCAGTGAAGTTTGTTTCCTTATGATAAATGTTTTCATGAGCAGTTCT